TGTCAGCTGATTTCTCAACAGAAACTATGCAGGCCAGAAGGGAGTGGCAAGAAATATTCAAAGTGATGAATAGCAAGAACCTACAACCAAGATTAATTTACCCAGCAAAGCTATCATTCAGAATTGAAGGTCAGATAAAGAGCTTCACACATAAGAAAAAGCTAAAGGGGTTCATCACCACCAAATCAGTATTATATGAAATGCTGAAAGGTATCCTTTAAGAAAGGAAGAAGAAGAAAAAGGTAAAGATACAAATTATGAACAACAAATACACACCTACCAACAAGTAAATCTAAAAATCAAGTGAATAAATAATCTGATGAACAGAATAAAGTGGTGAATATAATAGAATCAGGGGCATAGAAAAAGAGTCAACTGACTATTCTCAGGGGAATAAGGGGTGTGGGGGTGGGGGAAGAGACTGGACAAAAATCGTACAACTATGGATGAGGACAGTGCGGGGGATAAGGGCAGAGGGTGGAATGGGAACCGGGTGGAGGGGAGCTATGGGGGGAAAAAAGAGGAACAACTGTAATAATCTGAACAATAAAGATTTATTTTAAAACAAACAAACAAACAAATAAATAAATCTAAAGTAATAAAATATGACTTTTCCTGATCTATAAAGAAGTTGAAAAATCATCACTGACAAGTGATTTTAAACATACATGAATGAGAATACTAAACTATATTTCAACAACATTAGCATATTTCCCTTGCCTATACAAATTGTCACTGAAGTTCTATTTATCTGGTGTTATTGCATAATCAGCTGCTTTAACTTGGCAATGAAATGAGCCCATAGGACTAGAAATTTGTTTACATTTAACTCTGTGGAGACCCCTCCCTATATTGGTACATGCTCTAGGTTAGCAGTGGGCAAACTACGGCCCGCGGGCCGGATCCGTCCCGTTTGAAATGAATAAAACTAAAAAAAAAAGACCGTGCTAGAAATTTGTTTACATTAACTCTGTGGAGACCCAACCCTATATTGGCACATGCTCTAGGTTGTCATTTATGTACAAACTGGCTAATTATTTATATTTTTGTTTGTTTCCCCTATAGCAGATTGATGAAACCAGTATAATTCTAAGAAGGAATGCAATTCTAATTAAAAAAAAAAAAGATTCACAAATACTGTCAAATAAACTGTACAATCCCAATGCTACCAGGATGACCAAGCACATTTTTATGTGTAAGAAGTGTACTATAGTTTGTTTTTAAAAAGGAATTCTTCATGGATATAAGAGAGGAAGAATCACAGAGGGACAAGTTGTTTTTCCCACCATTTTATCACCACATGTTCTGCTGTTCCTTCTGCAAAGTGAATGCAGAGAGGAACCCAATTAACTTTCTTGAGTAATCAAATGTTTAAAACAAGTAAATACACAAAAACCTTTTAGCAACCTTCATTTGTAGGCAAGGTAACCACAAACAATCAATCAATAAGATGACTAAGCACTTGTAAGAAGATTGTATTTGTCACAGGGCTCTGTTGCTTACTGACAGTACATCTGACTGGCTTCCTGGCCCCAGATTCCCCCAACCCAGGTGGCTGCTCCTTTGCAAATTCACCTAGATCTTCCTAGGTTTCTGGATGATCCTGAAAGTTCTCCTGTTCCCCAAGTTCTAGACTTATCCCAAATCAATCCATTCTGCCACCATTTCAAGCCTTAGAATGGAGAGGCATTATGTGCAACATGGTGTAATGCGTTAGTGTTTGCCTGAGCATTGGAGACAGATTTGCCCGCAAATTCTGGTTTGGGCACTTCCTGGCTCTATGACTTTCAATGAATCACTTAACCTTTCAGAGCTTCAATTTTTCCTTATCTACAAAAGGGAAATAACAAGGAATATCCAAGGATTAGTAATAATATCTGTAAATGCACGTACAAGAATGCTCAATATTAGGTACTCAATAAGTGGTAGCTATTGCTAGGGCATTTAAAATTCTTAAGACTACTACTTCATTTGTCCATCACATGTTATCTTTAATCAAGACTCCTTTTGGAATCAGGCTATACACAGGTAATGGGATCTTGATAGGAAGAATCAGTGAGGCATTGTGTCTCAAAGTACTTATTGGCTACTCAGGAATAAAGAGTCATTAAACTGTCAAAAGTGTGTCCAATTATTTTTTATGTGTGTGTGTGGGGGGGTGGGGGGGAGACAGACCCTGAAATAGAAGAGGACAATACCTGCACATTGAGTTAATTGTCAAATATGTGTTCACCTTCTGTAGACAGAGAACCTTTATTGGATACTAATGTAAGTAACTTGGAAGCTATCTGCAAGATCACAGGCGTGTAGTTCCTTCCTTCTAAGGACTCTGTATCTCATGGCCTAACTCTGCTTCCTCATGTCATCACATCATCATAAAGTTGAAAGCTTCACAGAGATCTTTAAAAAACTAGAAGTTACAAAACATCCAAACACTACTCATAACAAAAAGTTATTTATTAAAAAAATTATTTTTAAAAATGTCTTCTGTTCAAAAAAAGAAGCAAGGGAACAAAAAGAATGCAAAGAATGCTGAAGGCACATTAAAACCTTGTAGTAAAACTTGATAGGATGAAGTAGAAAGTTCCTTTGAGAGTTAAAAAAACTTCAAGAAACAGCAATTGTTATTGATGATCTTAATGTACTTAGAAAAACAGGAACAAACTTAAGGTTGTATTTTTTCAGTTTAATTGCAGAGCTACAAACTCCGGAATATTTTAAAACCATGGTATTTAACATCTGAATAAAATCATGCAGTTTTGTTAGATATTTGCCAACTAAATGATGAATAAAAATCAACTTTAAATATATTTTGAGACTCAAAATGTATTTCTAATGATAGAACCAAAGAACATGAGTAATGGACTTTTTTTATTGTTTAAAGTATTATATGTTCATT